CGTCTTACAGGCGATATTACCAGGTTAGTAAAAAACACTAGTTCCATAGTACTTATTTACAGGATTTACTACAAGTGTATTCGTACTAATCTTAATGTACAATGCCTTGACCCAAGTCCTAAGGGAAGTACTATGTTGATACAAGCTAGTTCTGCACAGACCAACATCCAAATTCCAAAGCAGATACTTTGGAAAGATGTGACCTTACCAGAATCTTGGACCATGCAGAATGAAAATTTTGATAAAGAATCTAGTACTGAGTCAACTACAACTGATTTGGAGACTATCAGACAGCTCCCAGATGGATCAGTTAAAATATCTTTTGATACTGCTAGATCCAGTAGATCTAGTAGGTTCACGCCCAGGCGTGATCAGGTTCCTGAAGGAAGGAAATCTGATTTCTCATCTGTTTCCCATAGAGACAGAGAAATTGCCAAAGAACTTGACCACAGGTTAAAAGGAATCGCTAATTCCTCTGACCCGGTAGCTAGGCCAGTATACACTCCCATAAGTGTACCATTAAGGTCTAGATACACAGAATTTAAACAAACAGAGAATGATGAATTCACTCTTTCACCTTCTCTGTCACCCACTGCTAGTGCCTTTGATGGAAATATAGGATCCAGCAAAATCCATCAATTATACACTATCACTAGGGAAAAAGAATTTTTTATGCCTGATGTTTACAAGTTAAAAAAGGATTTCAAAACCCCTGAGAACAGACCTCTTAGGAAAGCTTTTGAATCTTTACCTTGTAAAACCCAGGAAACCATTAAAAAAGAATGGGTTAAATTAATGTATAAATTAGAATCCGAAATTGCTTTTGAAAACTACTTAAAAAACTTCCACAAAGAAGTCAAAGTAGTAACTCAGCAAAATTGGAAAACGGAATCTGCCGTGGTAACCTCTAGTCATCCACCAGCAGAAACCATTGAAATTAAATATGCTACCAAAACTGTTACTGCTACTCCCTTTAAGATTCCAGTTTTAGAATCTGAAAAGAAGATAGTCGAACAGGTCAATTTCACCAACCAAAGCCTAATTACTATAGGTAAACAGTTGGATAAAATTGAAACTAAAATAGATGAAATTAAACCATCTTCAGTAGAAAGACCATTAGTCAACCTACCTGAAGAAAGAAAGAATTTAGGTTTAAAAGACAAAAACCTAATTCAACAGATTGATGCACTCTTATCCAGGAAAGAATCTACTAGTACTTCCCAGATAACAGTCATCAACCAAACTGAAGAAAGTTCAGAGTCTAATTCAGAATCTGATAGTCCAAAAGACACCACTGATTCTGACTCTGAAATAGAAAACTTAGAAAATCAGTTTAGGGATCACAGTATGACCCAACCTGATTCTAAAATCAATGCACTGGTTAGAGTCCCTACCAGCTCCACAAAGAACTGGTATTCCAGACCTACTCCACCAGATCTTCAGTATGAAGAAAAAAATGTGTTGAACCAATTTTCTGTTCAGTCTAACAGACTCTATGAATGGAACATAGATGGTCTAAGTGAACAGGAAATTCTTAATAAAATCAGTCATCTATCCATGGTTTTAAATAATTATATGACCAATCTTGATAGCCCTGAACCTGAGATTGTCAAACTAATTGTTTCAGGATTCACAGGTGTTCTTAGAAATTGGTGGGATAATTATTTAACCCAGGAACAAAGAGACAGTATCATTAATGCTGTTCTCAAAGATGATGAAGGCCTTCCAATCTTTGATGAAAGAATTGGAACAGCTAAACCTGATGGTTGCAATACCCTTATATTCACCATCATCAAACACTTTGTTGGCACTCCTAGTAGCATTACTGCTAGGATTCATGACCAATTGACCAACCTAAAATGTCCCACACTTAGTGACTTTAGGTGGTATAAAGATGTCTTTGTTTCCCGTGTCATGGTTCGACCAGACTGCCAGAAAGCATTCTGGAAAGAAAAATTTGTTAATGGACTACCCAATCTCTTTGCCCATAAGGTAAGAGA